CACTGGGACGTTCCCAGCTACTGTCTCTGGCGCATGGCACTGGCACAGGGCAGGCTGCCCTCCCTGGCTGCTCTGGGTGTGCTGTATCTCTCCCAGTGGTGGCTGGTGCCATGGAGTGCCCGGTGTGGGAGCTGATGGCTCCAGTGTTACACAGCAGAGCACAGCCCCTGCCTGCAGCAGCACCAGATGCTTTCCCTGCAGTTCAAGTTTTCCCATCTCATTCATTTTAGAGATTAATTAAAGTGATTCCCCTCCCTCTCTCCCAACCAACCTCCCTCCCTCCCTCTCTTTTCCCTGTTCCATACAGCTGCACATGGATTTTAGGGTCATGCTTGTTTACATCTGTTATATTTACATTAATGGGTGTTTGTTTTAGGAAAAACAGCAGAAATCCCATAAAAACCAAATATTTGTGTCCCACAACTGGTCCTGCAGCCCCACTGGGGTGGGGCCTCCCTGGGCAGCCCGTGCTGCACCCTGGCAGCAGGTCTGCATGGAGAGCTCTGCTGCAGCATCTTTTAGGGGGTGCTGTGAAGTGACCCCCGGTGCTTACGGGGTGTTTGGGTGGGTGTTCCACACACCCCTGGGTCTCGTGCTGGGTGGTGGCAGCCAGGTCAGCTGCATGTGTCTGCCAGGGATAATCCCCCATCCTGGTGCAGGGATGCTGCTAAACCGCCTTTGATGGGGCAGGCGGTGGGTTCGTTCTTTCATCAGGAGGTTGGAGGAGGGAGAGTGTTGAGAAGAAGAAAGAGAGAGGGGAGGAGGAACGATAATTATTTTTTCCAGTGGCTCTGAGCTGCTGGATGCCTTTAAAGTTGCCTTTGTGTTCCCGTGGGTCAGGCCGGGCAGAGCCTGGCCCGGGGCCGCGTGGCGCGGCCGCCTTTGTCGGTGGGGCCGCGGTCTCGGTTATTAACGGGGATGTGGAGACCCAGAACCTCAGATCTTCCGTGTGGCTGGTGGGAGGAATGTGCAGGGCTGCCTTATCACGCTCATTTAACTGGTTAATACATCTTCAGAGCAAATAATGCAGGCTGGGGGTGAACTGCTTAACCAACCTCATTACTATTGTGCATTTAGCAGCTTGGAGAAAGATAATACCTTTCAGGTTTGACCCAATTTTAGTTTTTGTTGTCATAACCATGGAAAATCGACCTTCAGAGACCCTCAGCAGTGAGCCTGAATAGGAAGTGATTTACAGCAAAAGTGCCGTGTGGAATGCTTAATGCACTTGTGCAGGAAAACAAGACTGCAAGCAGCTGCTGGCATCCCTTCGCCACAGCCAGGGCTGCCCCGGCTGCTGGCACCCTGTCCCTGCTGCAGGGGCTGCTGGCACTGCCCTGCCCCTGGGCACACCCTCCGTGTGGGATGAGCCCCGGGCTGGCACAGCTGTCCTGGGGCCGTGCTGGCCTGTGCAGAGCTGTGATCCCTCACTGCAGTGCCAGCGCTCCTCGGTCAGCCGAGCGGGGCTGGCCTGGGCACCACTGTGGCCACGGCCAGAGCTGCTCACTGCAGTGGTCAGGGACCCCGTGGGCAGTGTGCACCCCACAGTCCCCGTGCAGCCCTGAGCACCTCTTGGCCCAGGTGTGCTCAGCCTGGCCCAGTGTGCCAGGGCCAGCTGTGACTCGCTGATTTTGGCCTTGGCCAGCCTCTCCCACCACACCAGCCTGTGGCTTTTCTGCTGGTGCCCTTCACCACCCGGGCTGTGCCGTGGGAGTAGTGCCAGCCCTGCTGCCCCAGTTCCAGCCCTGCCACCCTGGTGCCAGCTGTGCCACCCCCAGTGCCAGTCCTGCCGCCCCGGTGACAGCCCTGGTGCCAGCCTGCTGTGGCGCCAGCAGTGTTCCCACGGGTGAGATGTCACCCACACCTGTGGAGGTGGTTCCCATCGCTCTGGTTTTGTCTGGGGCAGGCAGAGATTTCCTCAGCTCCAGCAGTGGGGGTGTGTGGGACCTTCCTCTTGCTCCTGTGAGGAGGAGGGTGGCAGGGGGGTGACAGGCCTTCCTCCCCTTTCCTGAGGCAGCTGCAAGTGTGGCTCTGCCACCCAAGCCTGTCTCTGTGGTGCTGCTGCTGTGGCGTGTGGGTGGTCCCTGTGGCACGGGATTACAGCTGACAGCAGTGCCTGGGGCTGGGGGAGTGCTGGGAGCAGCTGATGCCCACGGGAGTGGGTGATGCCCGTGGGCTACAGGTGATGCCTGCGTGGGTTCCAGGCTCGCCCAGCACACCCCTGGGGCCCGAGGAGCACTGGAAGCAGATGGTGCCCATGGCATGCGGGCTTGCCCAGCCCAGCAAGGGGCTCTGCTCACTCCTGGGAGCTGTAGGAGGAGCAGGTCTGTCCAGCCAGGGCGGCTCTGGGGCTGTGGCAGTGGGGGCGTGCTCTTCTCCCTCCCCTCCCCAGGGCTGTGTTGGGGTGGGGGCACGACAAGGGCAGGCAATGCTACATCACTGTAATTCTGCTGTTGGAAGGAGAAGCTGCTCCCTCAGCGCAGGAGTTGAAACTCTTCAGCCTTCCTCAGTGTCACCTCCATGGCCATGGATACCTCCAGGTGTGACGTAAGTGAGACCCGGGGAAAAAAACATCTTCTGTTTAGCATCAAAATCCCATTAGTGAGTGCCGTGTTGTGCTGCACAGCTCTCAGCTGTGGCGCAGATAAGTGGGAAATAGCTGCAGGTCGGGCTGGAGCAGGAGCTGTGTCTGGGGCTGCACAGGTGCCGAGTGCTGCTTCAGCGAGTTTGCTGCTGGAAGAAAATTCCTCTCCCCGTGCCCCTGCAATCCAGGGAAAAGCACTGCGGGCTCCTGCTGCCCCCCAGCCCCACCTGCTGAGGGGCATTTCTGTGGCACCCCGCTGCCACGGTGGGGTGTGACAGGAGGCACCGGGCTGGGGCCAGCAGCAGCGTCCTGGGAGCGTGGAGGCAGCGGCAGAGGCTCAGCCTTCTGGAAATGAGCCGGCACAGCCTTGGTCCTGCCCCTTGCAGCAGCCGCCAGGCTGGCCCAGGGATTGCAGATGCTGTGGGCAGCTGCATCATCCCATCTCCTCCCTGAGGTGCTGCTGGCTTTGATAAAACCTCTCAGCCTTGCAGGGGTTGGCTTGTTGATCTAATCGCTGTGGTTTAGTGTGCAGTAAAAGCCCGGTGGCTCCTGGGGGAGATGTCCCATGGAGATCTGCAATTCACTTTCCGTCCCTCCTGGGGAAGGAACACTTTCCCAGTGGCAGGGTGCTGCAGGGATGCTGCCAATGGTGAGGGATGCTGCTGGGCCCCCAACACCAGTGGGGAACGTGCCAGCCCCTGTCCTGCACTCACACGGCTTTGCTTTTCAAAACAGAAAGGGCTGAAAAAATCCGGCCGTGTTCAGTTTGTTTTAGTGATGCAATTGGCTTTTCCTAGAGTTTGTCTTGTCCTGCACTTACTGCACAGCATTGGAGGGGTTCAGTGTGGGGCAAACCCCACAGTGTGAGTCCCCTTGAGCCCCCAGCTCCAGCGTGGTTCTGGTCACTCACAAACCACAGCAGGGAGGGAAGAGGCACTGGTGGCAGAGCCTGTGGAAGGGGACAGCCAAGGGGCATTTAGGGGACACTGAGGGGGGTTAGGGGACCAGCTGTGACAGACCAGCATTAAAGAGGCTGGGGTGGAAGGGCTGGGGAGCGACGCTGCTGAGCTGTAACTGTGCCTGCTGATCAGGAGCAGAGCCTAATGAGCAGGACTAATGAAGCAGGAGGGGAATTCCAGCGAGTCTGGGGAGTGCCTGCGGCGTTCACTGTATCTTTGTGGGCTCTCTGTGGTCTGTCCCCAAACCAGTGACGGTGCCCATCGCAGGGATGGTGCCCACTCCCAGCAGCATGCTTGGTGTGCTGGGTGACTGCAGGTGCCAGTCCCAGAGTGGGTGCCTCCAGTCTGCTCCTGGGGCCAGCATCCAAGCGCCTCTGTAGGCTGCCTCTTGGATTTTTACTGGCTCTGCACTGCTGGGAAGCCCATCCCTGTCTGCTGGGGTTATTGGAATGTGCTGGCACAGTGTTTGGGAGACACTGGTGGCTTCACACAGCCCTGGCAGCAGCCTGCCCCAGGGATTGCTGCAGAGCTAGCCTGGGGGGCCTGACTCCCTTCCCACCTCCCTTTTGGCCGTGCCTGGTTCAGAATCAGGAGGGGATTTGCAGCCACACCAGTGGGCAGGTCTTGTCTTCCTCTTCTCCTGGGTTTTTAGTGAGCCAACCTTGGAGGACCTTGAGTGCCACTCCTGCAGCTCTGCTGTGACTTATCTCCCAGCTTCTGCCCCTGTTCCGCCGAGGGGATAAATCTCAGCTCCCGGTGTGCAGCCGGTGCTCTGCGCCCATCCCACAGCACGGTGCAGGCGTCGTAACTCATGGCACCGGGGGGGCTGCCTGGCCGAGGTGCCAGGGGACGTCACAGCTCTGTGCTGTGATGGATGGGCTGCCCGGGGGAACAGGGAAAAAGTCCCATTACAATGGGGGACAAGCTGTTAAATTATCTCTTGTTCAGCCTGGGTCGGGGAAAATCAAACTGGAGCTGCCAGTAGCCTCCAGAGAGCCTTCGGGAGAGCAGGTTGGGGACTTTATTCCTTTAGGAAGAAGTCTTTTTCTTTCCTTGCCTCCATCCCTTGCACTGGTCAGAGGCCAGGGCTAGTGCTCTCAGGGAGGCAGGACCAGCCTCAGCATTTTCTGTCAGTGCAGAGACTGGGACGTGTCCCACTGGGGACGATAAACTGGGACCTGCTGCGTGCCCCATGCAGCCAAACCCCGTTCCCTGGGCTGAACACGCTTCCCTCTCCTCTGCCCTTGCCACTGGGCAGGGTCCTGCCTCTGCCCATGTCAGGGGCTGCTCCAGGGCTGCTCCCAGCTGTGATAATGGTGCTGTTGAAGGAGGGGGCCAGGCGCGTGCGAGTCCCCGGGGCCGCGGCGCTCCGAGGCGCCGAGCTCCGCCGCGTCCTCCTCCGTTATTAGCGCGGTGCCTACACAGGGACGGCACTGGAGCCTCTCTCTCTCTTCCAGGCTGAGAAGCTGCTGCTGTGAGACCCCGACGGCTCTTCCTGGCGGCGTGGAGGGCTGAACACGAGTGTGAGCTCCACCTGCCACCACACCTGAGGCACCTGCTCTTGCTCTGCAGGTATGTTGTTTCCACCCAGCAGTCCTGGTACGGGAGGGCATGGGGATATTTTTTGGGTGAGGATGAAGATGGTGCTTCCCATGGCTGTGCCTGGGGCAGCAGCTCACAGTCAGCCCACCAGGGACTTTGCACCAGCCCTGGGTACAGATCCTGTGTGTCCAGACTCTTGTGTGCTGACCTGGCCAAGGGGAACGTTGCTGGGACAAGCCACGTCTGCTCTAATCCTCGTGGGATATGGCGTGGGGGGTCTGGGATGCATTGATCAGTCCCAGCCGTCTCCCCCCTGCTGGCTGCAGGAGTGTGGAGGTCCTGGAGCATGTGGGACCTTGGTAGTGCCTGGTGGGAAGGGGCTGCGTGCCCACGATGCACACACAGCCCTGCACGTCGCAGCCCGGCTGGACCCGCCGAGCCAGACCCGGCTCCTGGCACCGACTGTGCTGCAAGCTCCCCTCAGGGCTGCGTGCAGCTCGTGTGCTCTGGGCTGAACCCATCTCTGTCAGTTCACGTTACACGGACTGGAACCCCCTCGTGCTGACACCAGTCTGCACTGGGAGCTCACACCAGCTTGAGGAGGAGTTAAAATTCAAAACTCCTGCAGGCAGTGGGACTCTCTCCTCCAGACGAGGCATTGTCCCTGTTTGTCCCCAGCACTGCAAGCACCCACAGGTTCAGCAGGTGCTCAGAGAGTCGTGGCCATGCCGTGGCAGCCATGGTGCCCAGGGACTGGGCTCTCCTTGGGGCTGTTCTGCCGCAGAATTTGCCTTCCAGTGCCCTCTCCACCAACTGCTGTGCCAGGGGGACCCCCAGAGCTGGGACTGCTCTTCTCCTAGCTGGCAATAGCCAAGGGGAGTGCCTGGGCAGGAGGACTGCCCGTGCAGCACCAGCAGGGCTCCAGGGTGGGGGCTGTGTGTGCCCCCCTTGCAGCACTGCTCACTCCACACTGGCTCCTCTGCCCTGCCCCAGCCCCAGGTGCCTGCTCGGGAATCAAGAAATGAGAGCTTGAAGCTTCTCATCCCTTGCTGGGGCACAGGTCGTCCAGAATGTGGGATTAGAGTGGCCATGCAGATGGATTCCCCAGCTGCATTAATCAGTTCAGAGGCAGCAAAGGCAGCTGAGCTCTGTGCATCACCTTGAAGCTCTTTTTTTTTGTCTTTAGCAAACTTTGGGTGGATGTTATTGCTCATGAAAGCAAGGGGCTGATCATGCTGGGAAGGAGCAGGCGTAGTGTGGGCTGGCACTATTATGCAAGCTTCCCACATGCCGCTCTGCCAGTGCACTCCGTTCCAGAACAACAGCACGCGTCCGCGTGCCAGCCCCGAGCCCACCCCCGGGTCTGCCGGAGCGCCGTGCTCCCGCCGTGCCCACGTCGCCCTCCCCGTGGGCCCTGCTGTGCCCGCTCAGCCCCGAGCCAGCCGCCCCACGGGTGGGCAGTCCTGGGTGAGGGTGCCTGGTCCTGTCCGGCCCCACGGCGCTGGCAGCCAGCTGTGTGAGCGTCCTGGCCAGAGTGGGAGCGCCGGGAGTTTCTGCCAGGACCTTGTGCTGCTCTGGGGCCTGTCTGGCTCTGGGGCTGGGACTGTGCTGCTTGTCAGGGGATGGCAGACAGGCTGTCAGCCCGTCCACAGTGCACGTCGTGCCCCTGCATTGGAAGGGCTGTGCCTTGTCTGTGGGGTCAGTGCAGCCATTGCTGCCAGCGCCTGCTCTGGGCACCAGGGCAGAAGTGGAGCTTGGGCCACCAAGCCTCTCCCTATCCAGCTTTTCTCCCTGCTGCTCTCCTCCTCCTCTCCTGGAGCCTGGCTGTGCCCTGTGTGAGGCTCGGGGCTGCCGGCTCTGGGCTGTGTGGGTGCTGGTGCCGAGCTTGGGGCTCCCTGGGCTGGTGGGGAGCAGCCTGGAGCCAGTGCAGAGCCCCTGCGGCGACTCTCCCCATCATCCCCAAGCCTGCTGGAGCAGCCCCGGGAGGAGAGTGCTCCTTCAAGGAAGACTTGGAGATGAGCAATGGAAAACATCTGACAGGGGAGCCCTTGAGGCGCTTTTGTTCCAGCGAGTGGGAGTGTGAGATCCGCTCAGACATGAAAGGCTGCGCGGCTCCGTCCCCAAAGTCACGGCGAAGGGAGGACGGGGGGTGTGCGGCTGCACCGGGAGGTCATCCCGGGAACGACTGGCACCGGGATCCCTCCCTCCCTCCCTTCCCAGCAACTAAATTAGGTCACACTTGAAAGCCAGTTTCTTGGCTGTGGATTTAATTTAGCTTTTCCAGGCTAGTTATCATATAATAAATTCCAGGAGATTTATAGAAAACATGCCCAGGGAGGCTTAGCCAGTGTGTAACAAGATTTGTGCCTCTTTCCCGCTGTTGAGCAGCTCTGGCGAGCGCGGCGCTGCCGGCAGATGTGCAGGCAGGGCTGGCAGCCCTGTGGGAGCTCCCAGGGAGACAGGGCAACCCCAGAAATGGGGTGGGGACATCGCCCCACAGCTCTCTGGGGCACGGGCGGGTCCCAAACGCAGCTGTCCTCTGCCCTGGCTCCCCACCAGCCATGAATCACCCGGAGCAGGTGCATTCCCTGGCCGTCCATCACTTGTCCTCTCGCCCTGGCTCGGCGTGGGCAATGCCCCATCCCAGCGGTGCCAGTGCGTGCCCAGAGGTGGTGAGCAGTCAGAGGGGAGCGATTGGTGTCTCCCGGTGCTTTTCTGCTCGAGGGGTGACGGTGTGTGGGACGTCCCTGCTGGGGGTACCTTGTACCCTCGCTGCCCTGGCTCCCGGAGCACAGGGAGCATTCGGCAGAGCTGAACTCGGCGTCTCTTGGCTCTCCCCACTGCTGGGGCGGGTTTTCCTCCACTCCGGGAGAGGCTGAGCGGGGAGAGGCGCTGGAATCCGGAGGGATTTGTGGCGAAGGCAGCACTCGGCAGCGCAGCGCTGGGAGCCGGCGGCCCGGCGCGGAGGGCACTGCCAGCGCTCCGGCTCCGCTCCCTGCTAACGCCGCCCAATTAGTGTCTTATTAGTCACTCCGTGTGTTAAGGCATTAGAAACAATTAAGGGTGAGAAGAGTTTCCAGATGTGGCGGCAAGCGCCGGAGCTGGGAGCTGGCAGCTCCGCTGGCTGCTCCCATATGGAAGGGATCTTGCACACAGTGGGACTCGCTGCGGGGCCACGGGGCCAGCGTGGCAGGGTCCCGGGGCCACTGGGGTGTAGGGAACTCCTTCTGGGCAGCCCTGGGGGCAGTGCCCACCTGGAGCCACAGCCAGGGCTGGTGGATGGAGGAATTAGCTGCTGAGATGCCCGTGGATGAGGGACACAGCCGGGCGTGCTCCCTGAGATTGGGTTTGCTCAAATCAAATATTTATTTACTGCTGCAGCTGGGTGTGAGTCAGTCCCCCCATGCCCCCAGCCTGTGCTGGCAGCCCTGCGCCGTCCTGGCGAGACACCGGGGCTGGGGAAGTGCCTGGCAGTGAGCACAGGAGCATCTGGGACGTGGCATGTGGGGGACAACTGCTGCGACAGGGACGGTGCCGTGTTGTGACACTTTTAGGTGTGGGAGAAGTAGCACAAGCAGAGATGAATGTGACTTCAGAGCCCAAATGCAAGTGACTTCAGCTCCCCAGAAATAGTCCCCAGGCAGTGCAGGGGGAGGGAACCTGGAGCTGCAATTTCTGGGGATGTTGGGGTGCTCCTGTGACTTTTTCCCCTCATGCAAGGTCGGCTACACTCCCACCATTGCCCCCCATGCCATGGAACTGGTGAGGCCACCAGCCAGGGGTCACTCTGGCCAGCACAGGCAGTCTCTCCCCAGCATCAAACATCTCACCCTGTGACGAGCACTCTGGGAGGTTTCCCTGTCAGCTGCTGGAGCCCTTGGGTGCCCTCGTGGTGTGGAGGGTGTGGGGGGCATCAGTGGACATTGATGCTGTGGTCGCCCCTCGTGAGCCGAGGCTGAGTGAGCACTGTGAGATGCTGGCGTGCAGGTGGAGAGGGGCACAGTGGCCTTCAGTGCATTGAAACAATTTCTGTGCTGCTCTCCCCAGGGCGAGGAGCAGTGCGTGGACAGATGGTGTTTTTGAGTGACCTTGGAGCTCTGAGCCGTTCCCTCGGCTGCTGAGTAACGGTGGGAGCCGCGGGAAGCGGCAGCGGTGCCACAACCTGCTCAGGCCGGCGGGAGCCTGGCAGGGAGCCCAGGCTGCGAGGGATGTGGGGTGAACCAGGGGATGGAGCCAGAGCCCGACAGCCCTAACGTGAGGGCTGCGGGGAAATCCGCTGTGCACTGCGATCGCCGGCTGCCCGTGCCTGTGGGAGGGGTGTGGTGCGGGCTGCAGCCGCTCCTCCAGCCCGTGTTCGCCTCGGCAGTGGGGTCACTCCTCCTGTGCTCTGCCTTGGGAAGTGCCTGAGTTGTCTCCAGGAGCTGAGGCAGCAGTGCCTGCAGCTGGCACAGAGGGCACCAGGGAGTCCGTGTTGTGCCCAGGAGGGCAGCAGGTGGAAAGGCTTCTGCCGTGTGAAGTTTCTTTCAGAGCTGTCATCCAGGGCTGTGGTCCTGAGGGAACAGATCCAAGGGAAGGGAAAATTGCACTGCAAGGTGCAGCTTTGCTGTCGAAGAGTCACCCTGGGCAGGCTCAGCTCCTCTGGCACCCTTGCAGCCTCCTACGAACTCCGTGCGGGCTGCAGCACCGAGAGGTGTCCTAAATTGGGGAAGGAACAAGGAGCTCTTGGCACTCGCCTGGAGCATCATTTGCATTCCGGCGCAGCTCCCGGCTGCGAGGGAGGCGGGGGCCCGGCAGCCGCGGGGTGAGGAGCGGGGCCGCTCGCCAGCTCCGGCTGCCGGAGCATCCCATGGGACCGCTGCGGAGGGGGCTGTGACTTGGGGATCACCGTGCACCAGGTTCCTTGTTTTCGTTCTTCTCTCACTGAACTTTGTGTCCAAGTTCTCTGTCCAAGATTTGTGCCTGTGCTTCTTCCGAGCGCGAACGGCCTTGTCGCTCTGGGCCCTGTGATGGGATCTCTGGTGACCCACGCT